ACTCCCAAAGGCTAAGACCACTATCAAACAAACAACACTTGAGAACTACAGATTTCCCCGCCTTAAGTTCCCAACAACATACCTGAAAACTTCCTTGACAATTGCCCCCCCCCCCCCCGTTTTGTTTGTTTGGTTTAGACAGTGACCAGACAGCCCAGACTGGCTATGAATCTGTGGTGATCCTCCTTGCCTCTGCCTCAGAGTACTGGGATTTCAGTGTGTGCTACCAGAGTCAGATGATTTAAGACTGTCTTTTGTTCTGACGATGAAAGTTTATGTAACTGTTTCCATGTTAAGATGTGTTCTTCAGCCTAGTGGTGGTGGTACAGCCCTTTAATCCCAGCACTTTCGAGGCAGATACAGACAAATCACTGAGTTCAAGGCCAGCCCGGTCCAGGATGGCTAGGGCTACACAGAGAAACCCTGTCTCGAAAAACAAACAACAAAAAAAAGACAATGTTCAGGGCAACCAGAATGTGTGTTCCTAGGCCATCGTCACTCATATTTGGCTCAGGGTAAACAGTCTCTTATTTCCACTGGCAGCTGTGTTTTGTGTGGAGGACTTTACGAAGAGAATCAATGTGGCCAGATGTGGTTATCCCAGAGGAGAGGCTGAAGCAGGAAAATTGAGGGCTCCAAGCTATTTTGGGCTACATAATCTTAAGACCTCCCCCCAAAAAAAGAATACAATAACACAAAGTTTGTGCTGATACTTCTACATGGAATTAAAAATATAAGTTTGTTCCTCCTTACTGCAGCCAATGAGTAAGTCCGCTCCAGGTTTTCTATCTTCTCATACTATCTTCTTCAGGGTCACTATTACTGGGATGAACCACCACGACCAAAAGCAGAGCGGGGAGAACAGGGCTTATTTGGCTTACATAGAATGGACCACAGTGCACTGAGGGAAGCCAGGGCAGGAACTCAAACAAGGTGGGAAAATGGAGGCAGGAGCTGATGCAGTCATAGAGTAGTGCTACTTACTGACCTGCTTCCCAAGGCTTGCTCAGTCTGCTTTCTAATAGAACCCAGGACCACCAGCCCAGAGAGGACCCGAACCTACAATGGTCTGAGCCCTCTCCCATCAATAACTAATTAAGAAAATGCTCTACAGGCTTGCCTACAGCCTGATCTTATGGACGCATTTTCTCAAATAAGATTCCCTCCTCTCTGATGACTCTAGCTTGTGTCAAGTTGACATAAATCTAGCCTTACCTCTTAAGTCCCCAGAGTAATGCCAAATTAGTATGGAAGTTGCTGGACTTGACTCACCACATCTGTCCCTGCATCACGGCAGAGCATCTAGTCCAGAGGAAAACGCTGTGGCATTTTGTAGCTACATCATTAGCAGTCAAGACTTTCCACACCTGTCAGCAGGCCCCAGACATTCTTGCTACATTGGAAAACTTCCTCCTTGCTCTCTTTACTTAAGGAACTGAGTAAAACTGCACCTTTCAAATACCTGTGATTTTGCCCATGTTCCCTCCTTCACCTAAGTGGAGCCTCAATGATCATAGACGTCTTTCCTTTCTCTTGTTACTGCAACACTTTGAACACATGGCAAGTGTATGTGAATCACCCTGTCCTCTATCCGCATATCTCTCCTACTGGGTTACAGGATCCTTGAGGGTAAGGGACAACCACACAGGTGAGCTTTTCCCCAAATGCTACCACCAGCTAGTCATTGTGGTACATGCCCATACTCCCAGTGTTGAGGAACAGAGGCAGGAGGATCTCCAGTTGGAAGTCAGCCAGAGCTACACAACAAGACTTTGTCTTTAAGAAATAAGTAAATAAAATTTAAAACATTGACTACCCGGGCAGCCTCATCACCAAGAGGTCAAAGAATATGAACTACTCCTTCCAGCTACCAAGGTTTAAATCCCCTAAATCCCTACTTCCACTCAGGTCCCAAGTCCCTTACCATCCCACCCAAGTCCAGCTCAACCGTAAAACAGTATTCCTTTCACTATTGGTTCTCCTCTGGCCTACAAATTATCATTCAGGAATTTCAGGCAAACTCTTTCCCTGCCAAAACCCTCACTAACTCCCTCCTGAATATCCGGGGTCTTGAGCTGAGCAAATATGTGCCCAGCATAGCTCACAAAGGACCTTGACATGTCGTCATGATGTGCCACCTCATACGCGGTTTTCTGGCTTTTCAAAGTCCACTAGGGTAGCCGGTGCCTGTCTTGAGCTCCAGGCATTATCACTCCAAAGAGTCGCTCCCACTTGCCTCCCTGACTGCTGGAGGCCTAATTCACAGGCCCTTCTCACAGTTATATTGTAACAAACCCAATCTGGAGCAGGCAAACGGGCCTCCCATTTTCTTCCCTGGCCCCAGGGATTGAAGCAACAAAGCACTCTACCACTGACCCCTTATTATGGAGGTAACAGGAGCTTTTTAAAACTCTTCTTGGGCTGGGGGTGTAGCTCCATGGAAAAGTGCTTATCTAGATAGTGCATACAAGGCCCAGAGTCTGAGCCCAGGCAGTATCAAAAATAAACACTTTTGTCTGTGAGAATGGGTTTCTCTGTGGAGCTCAGGCTGGCCGCAAACCACCACCCTCACACCTCAGCCTCCAGAGTTCAGGGACTACAGTATGTTTCACCACAGCAGCCTGGCTGAACATTTCTTTGCTGTGTTTCCCCCTCAACGCCATTTCTCTGTGTAACAAGTTAATGGTTTCCTCCCCTCTCCCCCTGCCAAAAAAGTTACAAAGTAAAACAAACTGCCCTTGAGTGTGCCAGTCAACTCTTCCTATGAATCTCAAGGGAGCGGAAGAAGGGTTCTCGTAAGAGGTTGGGTTATGGTATGAGTAACACATGTTGAAAAGATAACAGGGCAGGTAACATTACCATTACCAAAATATCGTGTACCACACCTTTCCCGCTGGCTGTGCTAAACTGTGTGGCACCAGCAGACACACTAGAGAACTGGGGTAGGAAGGGTTTGGCAAGATAGGCAAGGTGGAAGGGAAGCACCTCTGGGGTGGTCTCAAAAAGAGCAGAAACAGGATCAGTCCAAAACACAGCAAAGAGCCGGGCGGTGGTGGCGCGCGCCTTTAATCCCAGCACTCTGGAGGCAGAGGCAGGCGGATCTCTGTGAGTTCGAGACCAGCCTGGTCTACAAGAGCTAGTTCCAGGACAGGCTCCAAAACCACAGAGAAACCCTGTCTCGAAAAAGCAAAAAAAAAAAAAAAAAAAAAAAAAAAAAAAAAAAAAAAAAAAAAAAAAAAAAAAACCACAGCAAAGAGAGAAGAGACTAGCCTGTTGTGGAAGTCTAAGAGAGCGCCGCTACCACATACGGTAGAAAACAAGATGGCACAGGATTAGTAAGTGCCCTGTGGTGGCACATGCCTGTAATCTCAGCTCAGAGGCAAGGCTAGGACGGCTAACTCAAGCCCAGCCAGTCACCAGTGCAAGATTGTCTTACAAGCAGTGTTCTTAGTGACAGGAAGCCTTACCAGGTTCCAGCCCACAACAAGGACTTTCTGAAGAACAACAGTCTAATACAAAGTGAACTAGGAGGCAGGGAGCATTGCCACCAAAGCAATGAAGCTAGAAGAGACATCGGGAACAAAAGTCCTAACCGAAGTAAAGGCCAGGGGAAGGAGAAGAATAGGTGCATGGTGGAATATTTAGAACTGACAGGCCTCAGGCACGTTTTTAGGCCTGAATAGCAAAAAGAGTGGGTGCTGAGGACGAAGGAGGGAAACAGCAATTTGTTCGGAAATCAGATGGCCCATTTAAGGAACTACATGGGAAAACAAACTTGACCCCACATCAATGACTCCAGCCCACACTGTGCCTTATAGACTACTCACGTTACATCTACGCATCTTTTTATTTTTTAAAAAAATTAAATCTAACTACATCAGGAGCTACAGTCACTCAAGGGTGATGAGAAATTTATGATGTCGATGTAAAAAGGGCATCCCCAGAGCCAAGTTGTTTGACAAGCATCATCCACTTGGGTTCTAAAAAACAAATACCTTACCCATAAATTCTGGGGTCTACGGATAGGAACGTCTGGAGGAGAAAGTGGGCACCTGAAGGTGTCCAGGAAATAAAGTTCAAGATACTAGGCTTTGAAAAGCTGGTGACTTCACACCGGGAGGTGCAGCAAGGGGCTTTCTCCTAAGTTCCCAGATCTGACTCTCCAAATACCACGGGAGAGGAAGCACCACCTTATCCCGCAACTTCCTACTCCTCCCCTGCAGCTTAGGATGCTATACACACACTACAGCTTCGGTTATCTGGCCTTCTCCCACACAGGTCTTGTAGGATCTCTTGCATAGAAACATAACTGTAGACTACCTGGCTATTTCACTGGCTCCAAGAGACTTTGTAGGCATCTAAGGCTTCCCGGGCACATTCTGCTACTGTTTCTGACGAGAGGGAGGGGCTGATGGCGGTGTTGAGCTGGTATAAGGTCTGAAACACTGCTTAGACACAAGGTGAGTCACTGCTTAGTTTCAGTTTCTCCAGCTGTTCGTCTAATAGAAGGAAAGAGTCCTAGCACACCGTCCTCGCTGGATTTTTAAACACTGCGTTATTCCTTTCAGATGTGCTACAAGCATCATACAGTCGTAGACCATCAACAATACAGGAATAATGCTGTTCTGAAGGCAGCTACTAAACATCCTCCTTCCAAAGGTCATCACTTACGGTTATGCTTTCCCCCTCCTGATTTCCAAAAGGGCCTAAGATCTCCAAAGGGTTCAGAAATCATGCCGTGGCGGCCTGGACGATGCAAAGCAACCAGGAGCGTCGAGCCTTGCGCACATCCAAGGGACTGGAGGAGCAGCGCGACCGCGCAGCGCGCGTGTGCCCCGGGCCCGATGGCTGGGCGTTCTGCGCACCTCGCCCACTCTGCTTTCGCGAGGGAATAGGAAGAGACGCTTTCGCGGCGCCCCTCACCAACGGGGAAACTGAGGCTCCCGGGATAAAACCCTTAAGCCCCGTGCGCGCGGCCCGGCGAGCCAGGCCGGACTCACCTTGGCGCTGTGCACAGCCTCCTGCGCGCCGCGGAGCTGCAGCCAGATGCGCGCGGGCAGCGGCTCCTCCGCCCCGAGGGCGCCGAGCACCGCCAGGCCCACGCCGAACAGAGCCTCGATGCGGCCGCGGCTCCGCTCCAGCAGCGCCGCCTTCTCGGCGGGCGCCGTGAACTCGTCCAGTACCACCCGGGCAGCCATGGCGGGCGCGGCCTCCCGTGGCGCCGGGGGCCGGCGGCGGCGACGCCCCCTCAGCGTGCCGCCGCTGCACCGAGCCGCTCGGGAGGCGTGGGCCGCGCCGGCCGCCTCGCCCGTCCGCAGGCCCCGCTACACCATCACGACACGGCCGCCGCAGCTTAGCAACTGCGGGTAGTGACTCCCCGCCGCCCCGCCGCCAGAGCCGCTGCCACCGCCGCCGCCGCCGCCACCGCCGCCACGCATGCGCTCAGCCCGCCGCCGTCATTGAAGCTCGCCGCCCGTCGCCGCGGGTGGGTTGGTAGGCTGAGGGCGACGGAAGTCGACGACACACGCGGTCGCCATGTTGGTTAAGGGCAAGCGTCGGCAGGCAAGGCCTGTGTGGCCATATTTGATGAGGGCCTGATGCCTTTGGTCTTCTAGCAGGCGGAAGTTTTGGGTTTTACATTAGTAGGCAAATGATTCCTCCTTTCCTGTCTTTTTGTTCCCTTTACTTCCTTCCCTTATTTGCTTCTTTCAGGAAAAAAAAAATGGTAACAGGAAAAGAAAATGGAACCACTAGCGGAGAATTGAAAGGCTAAATAAATTGCTGACATAGTGTCAAGTACCTGTAATCCCAGTGAAACAGGAAATGAGTTGGCAAGTTTGCTGAGGGCAAGCCTGAGGTGTACCAGACCAGGTTGGGCTACCAAGAGAAAACTTGTTTCAAAAACTAAACGAGATCCCGATAGAACATCCCCATTGTCTCAGGGTGTGGGTGCACCCCTCTCGGTCCTGAGTTCCTTGCTCCTGCTCTCTCTCCTTCTGCTCCTGATTTGGACCTTGAGGTTTCAGTCCGGTGCTCCAATGTGGGTCTCTGTCTCTGTCTCCTTTCATCGCCTGATGAAGGTTAATATTCAGGAGGATGCCTATATGTTTTTCTTTGGGTTCTCCTTCTTATTTAGCTTCTCTAAGAACACAAATTATAGGCTCAATGTCCTTTGTTTATGGCTAGAAACCAAATATGAGTGAGTACATCCCATGTTCCTCTTTTTGGGTCTGGCTTACCTCACTCAGGATAGTGTTTTCTATTTCCGTCCATTTGTATGCAAAATTCAAGAAGTCCTTGTTTTTTACTGCTGAGTAGTACTCTAATATGTATATATTCCATACTTTCTTCATCCATTCTTCCATTGAAGGGCATGTAGGTTGTTTCTAGGTTCTGGCTATTACAAACAATGCTGCTATGAACATAGTAGAACATATACTTTTGTTGTATGATAAGGCCTTTCTTGGGTATATTCCCAAGAGTGGTATTGCTGGGTCCAGGGATAGGTTGATCCCGAATTTTCTGAGAAACCGCCACACTGCTTTCCAAAGTGGTTGCACAAGTTTGCATTCCCACCAGCAATGGATGAGTGTACCCCTTTCTCCACAACCTCTCCAGCAAAGGCTATCATTGGTGTTTTTGATTTTAGCCATTCTGACAGGTGTAAGATGGTATCTTAAAGTTGTCTTGATTTGCATTTCCCTGATCACTAAGGAAGTTGAGCATTTCCTTAAGTGTCTTATGGCCAGATCTGAAAAAGCCTGGGATAAAACCAGACTCGCTGAACATAGTGGACAATGAGGACTACTGAGAACTCAAGAACAATGGCAATGGGTTCTTTGATCCTACTGCACGTATTGGCTTTGTAGGAGCCTAGGCAGTTTGAATGCTCACCTTACTAGACCTGGATGGAGGTGGGTGGTCCTTGGACCTCCCACCAGGCAGGGAACCCTGATTGCTCTTTGGGCTGATAAGGGAGGGGGACTTGATTGGGGGAGGGGGATGGAAATGGGAGGTGGCAGTGGGGAAGAGACAGAAATCTTTAATAAATAAAAAAAACTAAACGAGAGATCAAGAGATGGCTCAGTGATTAAGAGTGCTTGTTGGGTACTCAGACAGAGGTTGGATAACAGCATCTGCATATCAAGTCAGGCACAGAAACAGACCTATAACCTCAACTCTAAGGGAGACATGAGGGCTTGCTTGTTTAGCTGAGACAGGGCCAAAGGAGAGCCGCTGGTTCAGGCAGAGACTCTAAAGGAGGAGATGAGAAGCGGTAGAGGAGCCGGCTGAGGCCCCTTCTGGCTTCTGCCTGGAGAGACATATCTACCATCACACACTTGTGCCCATACGCTCACACACAAATACATATACAAGATCATTCTAAAATAAGTCTGTAGGTGGAGTTTTCCATCTAGAATGTGGGTCAGCTCTTAAAACATTCAGAAGGTGTCTCGGCAAAGACATCTTCAGTGTATAAAAAGATTATATAACACATCTCCTCCTTTTTTGCTTAATTAAAAAAGAAGATTCTGACTTTAACATAGTAAAACTATATAACATTACAGTTATAATATTTGTGTTTGGCAAATTAGAGAAAATACTCTAATATCTATCTTTGTGAATCTAAAGTTTTATACCTAATTGACATTTTATCATCATTAAGGAAAACTGTAAGTTTAATTATTTAATCTTTAATTCCATCAAAGACACCAGAAGGGTGAAATGTTACCTACTGATAGGGATATCTGGCTGCCTGGACAGTCAGATGTTCTGTAATGTTGGGCATCCAACTTTGGCCTACAGGCCTAGTATAGCTGATAGACAATTTGAGAAGCAGGGAATTTTGATGGACTGTCCTACCTTGTCTTTGGAAAGTTTGGCACTTTTTTTTTTGCTTCCTGCTGGTCTAGTTTGAACAGTATACTATCAGCAGTTGAGGCAAGGAGAGTTTTTTTTTTTGCCAAAATAGTTAGCTTTTTTCCATAAAGAAAGTAAACTCCATATGGAGTTTCTTTGATGCCCATCATCCTTTTTTGAAGCAAATTGGTGCTGACAAGAGCAGACTTGTCTTACTATCATGAAAAGCCTTAGGTTATTAAACATTAAATGCCATATTCTATAGGTCTTTGGAGTGTTTGAAGATCAACTATCTAATATATATATATATATATACATATATATATATATATCTGTAAGACCTTGAAAACATACCTAACACGACTATAAATTAGATTATTATAGTTGACAAACTACTAATCTGTATTTTTATACATTATATTTTAAATGAGCTGCATAAGCACCAAATCCTAAACGAGCAGAAACATACATATAGTATAGCAAAAATCACTTTAAATTTGTATCAGTAAACTAAAATCCATACCAATGTAAAATATTTTGTGATTAATAGTTGTTTTTAGATTAAAGTTTATTCAAAAGTTTACCCTTTTTTTTAACCATTCCTATATCATATCCTCCTCTTTTCCTTTATAAAGGAACTTTGAATTTAACTCTTTTGTTTAACTTGGTTTTTTTTACAACGAATGATAATAACTTGTAATCAAACCCCATTAAATAATGACAAACGTCCATAATCCATCTTTTGGGAATATAGGCATCGTTTTCTCTAGACTGCTTCCTGTTGTCTGGGGGATGCAAGCATCTTTGAGTGAACCTTAAGAAAATTCAGGATAGTGGTTATGTCTTGGCTAGAGTATTCTGTGAGGCTGGATCATCTCTGATAGCAGCCTTGAAGCTGTTCTGGATGCAGAACTAACAAACTGTAACAGAGGCATTCCAAGATGTTGGATCACCTGGGCCATCTATTTTCATTGGTGGTGGGTGCCCTTATTCCGAAAATACACAAGCTTTTAAAGGTAACATACATTACAAGTATGGAATATGTGGTGTATACAAGTCAGTTAAAGATTAATTTTTTTGTTTTATAATTGAGCAGGTCAAAGCTGGACATGGTGTCACAAGCTGTAATCCTGGCAGCACTCAGGAAGTTGAGCCTAGAGTATCAAGACTATCAAAACTACAAGACCAGCTTTGGCAAGAGCCAGACCCAACCTCAGAAAAGTTTGGAGCTCTCTTCCTACACTCTGTCACTTGCTACCTCCACTATTCTTTCCCACGCTCTCACTTCCCTAGCCCTGGCCTTGTTCAATCTGCTTTCTTTTCTCTCTACTCTAGGCTCTTTGGATCCCCCCAGGGATACAGAGGCCATGGGTCTCTGAAGATTCCAGATCAATCTGGTCTAGATAACAAGATCCAGGGCAGCCAGGGCTCCCCCCCCCCCCCCCACACACACACTTAAAACAACAATAACAAAAACAAAAAACAATTTCCCCCCAGATGAAGTGTTCAGGTGGGTGGTTTCTTTAGTGTACTCCCTCACATACAAGAAAGATGAAAGGCAATTTCAGCAAGGTTCTTTGTGTTACACGAGAGGCACAGATAGCAGGCACTGGTAGGCTCACTCGTGATCATACTGTGGGACTAGGTCTGTTTTTCCATCTGTAAAGTCAAGCTGTCACTCACTTGACTCTAACTCCTTTTCCCAGAACATACGCTTTCTTGAGTCCTCAAAAACAAACCGTGAAAAATAGTGTTGGTTTCTGTCCTGATCTAAGTATCATGCATAGAGTAAGTAAGACTGATGGGATTATTGCTGAGTTTCTCTGTATTCAAACTCTTCGCTGATATAATGTGGTAAACAGTAGTCCCGTTGTTGTGTACGGATCTCATTCATTATCAAAATTAACCAGAAAAGTCACTCTACCAAGAACAGTCATGTACCCCCACCCGTGTAATGGAGGGGGTAATCAATCCTGCCTCCGATTTCCAAGCTGCAGGTTGTACCCTGATTGTGCTCCGGTCAGTTCCCTAAAGTTTCAGCTTTGCAAGCATGCTCCCTGGTCCCTCACCCCCAAAGACTGATTTCCTGGAAGCTGCCCAGAGCCTCCAGCTTCCTCTTTATATCCCTATGTAGACCAGGCTGGTCTGAGTGCTGAGATTAAAGGCATGTACCACCATGCCTGGCTCAGCTTCCATTTTTGACTAATGAAAACATACTTGGTGGACAGGCAGGAGGGATGCAAACTAGCTATTACTGCTCAATCAGGAAACTTGTTTTGTTTTTGTTGTTGTTTGATTTTTGAGAAAGGGGTTTCTCTGTGTAACAGTCCTGGCTGCGCAGGAATTGGAGAACTTTTAAAGCCTCTGTTTTTATGGCAACCCCGCGTAGGTTTATTTCAGCTACATTGAAGTTGGGCCTGTACCATCTGTGTGCCTCCTCCCAGCAGGAGAAAGAAAAGGATCTCCACATATTCAAGTTAGAAATGACAATGACAGGGGGTTGTTGGTGAGAGGAATTACCCCAGATAAAATCTATCAGGGGTCCAGGCTGCTGGGGTTTTCCATGTTTCAGAAACTTGGGCTGGTGTTCTCCTGGTGCCTTACCAGAAGATG